CTCGCAGATTATTATTTTGAAAGCGTGCAAAATTTGATTATATATGTTCAAAACTTGTGCAATATGCAACAAAAGAGACAGCTGCGTTCCGAGAAGTCAGTTTCGGAATTATTATTAAAAGATATATATCTTCGGAGGAGGAGGGCAGATTCAAGAGTCCTTAATATCAAACTCAGGTTCGGGCTAACAGGGACCGAAAAGTGTCACGTTTCTAAACAATATACTCGACGAAAGATTTATGAGGGCTCTCTGGCCTCTTAAAAACGCTTTTATAACGGTTTATGGCGTTATACAACATTGTTGTTTGACGTATTTTATTACTTATATTTCTATAGGAAATATTGGAAGTTTGACAAATTATTAATTAGATCATCTAAAACTTTGTCATTATTTATTGGTTATGGTGAAGAATAGTTTACTTTTGAAACTTTGGCTATAATTTTATGTGAACTTTATTTGTTCACAATTCAATATATATATAAAGACACCTTACTAGACGTTACTCGGGGGTGCCCTCAAGGCAGCGTTTTATTGTTACTTCTATGGAATCTAGAGATAGATAAGTTGCTCGTGCGTTTCAACTCACAGGGATGTTAGGCCCAATGGTATGCAAACGATGAAGCAAGGGAAACATCCCATAAAAAATTATGCAAACAGCCCTGATATTTGTACAACGCTGGTGCGAGAAAGCGGACCTCATGGTCAACGCCAGAAAGATCGAGATAGCACCTTTCACTAGACGAAGGAACAGAGGTGAATATAACCTAAGCATCTTCAAGGAAAGGATTAAAATAGTTGATAAAGTGATGCAGTTAGATGCAGAAGTCTGTTGGGAAAAATAGGGGGTCTTGTTACCACCGCCACCTGATTGTGACGGTTGGGTAAGGGAGACTTTGTTTTAGCACTGGTACAGGCCTTTTTTGTACTGCGGTAGCGTGCCACCAGGGACTTTGTTTAAAGTCCCACTGAATATCTAGGTAACTTTGAACGGATACTTTTTAGTAATCTGATTAGATTGCCTCTTCCAGTGCGGGTTCTTGCTACCTGAGCTGTACGCAGTTAGTTGGAATGCTAGCTTGGGGTTTTCCAAAGGAAATAAAAGAATAAGTTTTTCTTACTAAACTCTAACAATGGATTATTGAACAAATGGTAAATCTTGGTAAGGAAATGAAAGAAAAGCAAAGAATATACAGTAAGATATTAACAATGTTCACTGAAATGAAATTAAAAAAAAATACATACGGAGATTTGGAATGATAGGGAGTTAAATCAATGAGCGTCCTGTATAGGGCGTTCCTTGATGGTACAAGTTACATGAGAAATTAAGGATTAAGAGATAAGAAAATAAAGACTAGGTTATAATTCTTAGTGGGTAAAAAGTTACGGGCTTCCTCCACTAGGGAATGAAAAAAGGCCTTGTTATTCACGGTAAGATACATGTTGGAAAAGAGATTTGAATTGTGAAGCTAACCCAACAATTTTGTTCTTTACACAGTCGAGAAAATAAATAGAAGGCAGAAAACAACAATCATGACGAATAAATTAAAATACTTGTAATTGAAACATTACCTAAGGTCTCGGAAAGAGAGTCAGTAGAAAGACCTCAACACTAAACACTTCGTGACAGAACTGAATGAATCTAGGAGGCTCACAGGCGACAGAGAGAGTCGTGTTTTAACACACAGTCATCACACTCTTTCGGAAACCGACTAATAACCCTTGGCTCTTGACACGGTTTCGTCAGAAATTTAGCAACTTAATCTAAAAGTTCGGTAAAAAAACCAATTAATTGTATTACGAAGCAAAAAAAAAAAAGGATTTTTAGGCCGTTTTGTTACAGTCTGAGACCAAGGCCGATTATCAGGCCCTTAGTTGTATACCTACGGAGCTGCAATATGGTGGACGAAAGCAGAACAAGTAATGACGGTCAATAAACTGAACAGCCTTCAGAGACTGGCATGTCTGTGCATTACCGGGGCTATGAGAAGTACACCTACTGCAGCGCTAGAAGCTTGAAAAAACAATTAAGTCATATGCGACCCAAGCATATGACAGGAAGGAATGTCCCACATAATAAGAAGAAGCCTGGTATGGTATACAGAAGGCTCCAAAATAGCGGATGGAGCTGGCGCTGGCGTATATGGAGAAAGACCAAGATCAGAGTAAAGCATTCCTCTGGGGCTTAACGCCACAATTTACCAAGAGGAAATTCATGCAATCCAAGCATGCGTACATTAGATTCTAAGGCTGGATTATAACAACCAAAACATAAGCATTCTCTCAGATAGTGAGGCTGCTCTAAAAGCTCTGGAATCACATCGATTCACTTCGAAGATAACGATGGAATGCTTATACGACTTGGCAGCTCTGTTGTCAAGGAATAACAAGATAAAGCTGCTCTGGGCTCCCGGGCATTTGAATATAGAAAGCAAGGAAAACGCTGACGAACTGGTGCACCCTAAACAAGATTAGAACCTACATTTGGAATATCGAAGCAAATTATGAAGACGGCAGTCTAAAGGTGGTCGACCCATCAACACCTCGACTCTGACTGACACGCGAAGGGGACAATTGGTAACCCCTCAAAGGTGCTAACAGGTGAAGTACTGTCATTAAAGCGTACGCAAATAAAGCTAGTGGTAGGAGTGCACATGCAGAAAATGAGAGTCTACAAGACTGTGTGGTCAAGAGGAGGAAAACGCCTTACACATAATATCCGACTGTGAAGTACTGGCTCGCTTAAACCAACCAACCAACCAACCATGCAAATGTTCTAATGGTCAGTAGTAATATAAAAATTATAATCTAGTCTAAAATCTGTATTTGATCAATTCCTCATCCACATCTCGTATTTCAAATTGACACTAAAATATGTATCATATAGCAACAAATTATAACTAATTGAGTTTCGCGCATTAGAGCCCGGATATATTCATCAAAATAGAGCGCATCAGAGTCGATTAATTCCGAAAATGCAAATTGTGATTAATCATAATGTAAACTTTGACTGTGTGGCACTTTGCAAGGCTGCCACTGGGCAAATTCAATTAGTGTCAGTCTTTCTAATCTAAATCCGGGGCGCCGCAAATAACCTGCAGTTAATGCAGCAGGCGAACCGAGATAGTGGTAGTATAGTAGTAGTGGCGGGCGGTAATTAATCTGAATCCAATTAGCGACAGCTGCATCGGTAATTTTACGTTAAAGGGCTCCCCGGCTTAATGAACGGTAATGCACATTACTAATGCTCTCGAATTGGAAAGTTAATTTTCCCGCAAGAAAAGTTTCAACGACAAAATTCAATTTGAGCTCGAACAGCGAATGAATTTGCTCCGTACCTCACTACTAGCAGACCATCCGTCACAATGTCAAACTTTGCCGATGTGTTCTTTCTCTAATATAAAAGTTTTACACTTCTCAGGATGCTACTGGCGAGCGAAACGACCTATTTTATTTGATTATATCTCGCTTTCTCAATGTATTTTTCGACAGTTTTGTTGTTGATATTTATCGTCAAAAATAATGCACCATCGGACAATCCATTCTGATAAAACACACTTGAGCGAAGTAAGATCCTGTGTTTGAAGCACACACACCCGTTATCCTCTGCTTTTATGCCGTGAGTGCAATGTCTGATACTATTTACCATTGGATATCATTGTTTCTTGGGCGAATAATAGCGAATCCGTGTATCCAGTCTATTAGTTGGGGCATTTATTTTCATTTCGAACGAAAACCTAATAAATTATTCCAGCATTCTCAGAATGCGATGTTTTTAAATCAAAGGGATGGCAACAATAACAATTTTAGGAGATTACCGTATACAAACTATTCCTCGCATCATATTATATTTATCGAAATAATTATCTCACCGGGTACAAGAGCCCTTCTTGTTGATTACGTTTTCCTTCCCCTCTTATACACGCCACCAGGCTCAGGAGAAATCTTAAGTAAACTTGCTGGGCTGCGTTGTAAGCGGCACGTCATTAATTAATTAGTTATACCGATTTATACTTATCTGTTTGATGCGTTTTAGAAAATACTGAAGGTGTATCATATCCAATGGAATTGTATAAAAAAAATTAGAATAAGAAAACTAAACATTGAAATTTACGTTACTATAATTATGTATTGAAACCACTTTTAAATTTTCGATGTCCATTTCGTGGCTTTTAATAATGTAAGTATATTTTAACGATTCTGTCAGTTACAGCATGAAGCACAAAAGCCTCGAAATTAATCTCGTTCAAGTCGCTCCTATTATGATGATAATAACCTAGACCCTATACCGATTACGTCGCTCACATCCGATCCGATTATTACATGTATTTGTCGGATAACTCTTATATTTATTAGAGGAATACTCGAACAAAAATGGCCGAAATAAAAGGTCTGCCGGCACGCTATACGATCCATCCGAGACCGCTAAAGCTATTCGATGTTTTAGACCACAAAGGTGCAGTTGGGAAACTGTTTTATTTATTCAATTATTCCGTATAGGTCTAAGATAATTTCACTTTTTTATTTCTTCTTAATTGATAATTATTTGACAATCGTTACCAAAACTAATTAGCAAAGTTGGGTTATTAATGATTAATAACGTCGCCGCCTTTGGATGATGATAGTTTGCTTAGGATTTTCCTAGCACACAGAAGGAAAACGTAATCAGAGAAGCCTCCGGGCTAGATAATTGTTTCGATAAATTTAATATGATGATGCAGGTAGTTGCTGATTAACTTCAACCTTCTGGTTTAGTTTTATTGATAATTTCCTTAGGCAGTGGTGGGGTTCCAGACATTCTTTATTATAGGTGGAGGATAAGAATATCAATGAAAGTATCAATATTAGGTGCGTGATTGCCCATTTGTTTTATGATTTTTGTTGCCTCGGCATCACGATTGCTCCGATTTTTCGAAAAGTTCAGTTGAATGTGGCTTAGAAAAATGATGATGGGAAAACCAAGAAAGTTAGTTCCTGAAATGTTTAATTCTGTAATAACTTACCTTTGCCATTTTCCGATCCGTGCATAGTACTCGTGCAGGCACTGGTGCTTAGATTGGACCAGTTACATTATTCTGAAAAAAAATAAATAAATATTAGATCATCGAAATCGAAGATGCAGTAGTAGAAACTGATACAGAACAGAAGACGGAGAAGCTGAGAAATAATCTGTTTCTAAAGATGTTGTAGCAAAAAACTAAATAGATGCCATCGATAGCCTGGTTCAAGAAAGTTGAGAAGCAGAACATGGAAGCAGTTTTCAACAAACAGTAGCGCCTAGCGTCCACATACGTTACGGGTGCAATGAAAACTTGTCCCACCACAGACATTGAGAAAATTGTAAGTCTCGTATCCCTTCACATCGTCGTGGAGAGGGCTGCTAGATGAGCAATAGCTAGAATCCCAATGGATAAGGTGGCGACGGAGGTTGGCTTGGAAGGAGAGAATTGGTATCTCTAACCAAGCTGATCCTACTCCTCGAGCTCTCCAGGGATGATATGATCAAAACATATAATTTTGTGAAACGTTCCACATTCTTACAATGCAGCAGAACGGCATAAAATGGTATACTGATGGGTCAAGAACTGAACAAGGGACCGGAGCCGAAGTACTTTGGCCTGGAATCCAGTTCTCCGAAGCAATGGCAAAACACCCAGATATATTGCAGGCAAAATTAAACGCTATAAGTAGATGTGCTGAGTTCAATCTTGACAGAAACTACGAAAAGAGAGAGATTATCATATTCTCAGATAGTCAAACAGCCATTAAGGCTGTTACGTTCAAATTTTGCCTTATAAAACGTAACTGAAGATTTCGAATAAATTCAGTAATTAATTCAGGTATTTGTGAGGGTATTTATAAAGCTGTATACCTGAGGATTAATATTTTTTCAGTAATTGATAGTTTGCTCATTGAATTTTACTAGATTTCTACCTTTTTGTTTGGATTCGAAACAATATCTAGTTGTTGAATAAAGGTATATTTTTCGAGGTAATAATGAGTAAATTCTTTGTATTCAGATGACAGGGTAGTTTTAGGATAATAGGGCCCTACTGTTTGGATAGGAATCCACTTTATTCAGCTTTCGAAGGTCGACTAAAAGGCCCTAAATGTCGGTGAAAAGGTTTGTTTACTTTCAAATAAGTATCAATTGTCAACATTTACGAGTCACGTAATTTCCTTTATTAAAAATTCTGCAACAACACAAATCACTTTCGCACCCTTTAAATCGATTTTCCACCCCTATTTCCTCTATTTTTCACATTTTCCAAATGTTTATTTTCCACAGAATAAGTGTGGTTAAGTGACATTTGTTGTTTCGTTTCAGGCAGCGTTATTGTCGAGATTCCTTGACCACTGTGGTTAATAGAGTGACTGTAGTTGTGATCCTTAAAGAGTCACTGGTCATTTTGATAGTTTTTAGACTGAAGACTGGGTAGATGTTGATCAATAACTTCTATAAGTAATTAATTAGTGTTGATTGGTGTTAGGGGAGAAAATTTGATAACAATTGTGAGTTTTGTTGGTCATCAATGTGATTTGGGTTGTTCCGTTTCAAGCTGATTGTTCCGTTTCAAGCTGTTTGTTTTCCTGCTCAAGACCAGAAATCTGGCACCAAAGGACATCTTAAAAAAAAACTGGAATTCTAGAAAATGTTTCATAGTGAAGCTCACCTAATAAATCGCTGAAAAGGAATCGGTCTCTTTTAAATTCGCACGTTGAGCAAACAACAAGTTCTTTGGCAGATTTTACCAGCGGTCCTTCCTTGCGTTACGTTCCTTGGAACATCCACCCTTTTGTGGGATTTTGAAGGCGTTGGGAACTCAAAGTGGTTGCTGGCTTAAATTGGTTTTCGGGTGAAAGCTTTGGATTTGGTCGTAAGTCCCCGTATTTGTAAGCCAACCATACAGAATTTTCTGGAAACGAAGTCTACGCCATTTTGCTGATTTGTCGTGTGAAGATCGAGCACGTTTTTTTCAACTAGCCCAAATTGTAACCAGGTAATTTTAAACGATTTTACCATTCTCAAATTTACCTTTTCGTTATCAATATTTAGATTAACTTATCTGTATTTTTGTAAATATTTGGGATTCAATAAAAAGGGAATTTGACCTCCCCGAGGCCATTTGTCAGTAAAAAACTCATTAATCGTTTTCAAAAGGGGCCTTGTTAATTAGGGTTTTTTTTTTTGTTTAAGATAACCGACAGTTTTCAGGGGATTTTGCTATTTTAATTCCAATAATTTATGTACCATTTGGGGTTGGGATTTTTCAATTTATAAGTATGAAGGAGTTCTAAGGCTTATTGTACTCTTTCAGGGTTTTTAGGTTTTTAGTTTGGATTTGACCTTTACCATTGGGTTTTTCCTCTTTGACGATTTGCTAGTCTCGGAGTTGAAGTGTCAAAGTACCCAAATTACTGAACTTGAAACTGTAATTTATCATTTTTAACAAAGGAAGTCAATAGAAGTTGAAGGGGTCTGTTATCCAGGCTGTGAGGCTGTCAGGAGACAGATATAGAAATGGGTGTTTTGCCTGCAGAGAGGACCAAAAAGTGGTGATGTACCCGTAAATTCAATATTGTTTCTTAATTATTATTTCAAATTATTATTAATGGTATTTCTTATGGTATATTTCCAAGGTTGTTTTACTGCCTTAATTATTACAATGGGTGTAGTACCAATGATTTTTAATGTACTATATTCAAGGTGACATTTTTGTACAAACCCGCCCCAGTATACCATGGTATAAGCTAGCACAGATTTTAATTAATATTATTAACATCTTAATTAATCTTTTTATCCCTTAATTGTTCTCTTGCACTCTCATTGGAGTAAGGTGGTCAAACTTTTAATTGGTAAAGCTTAAATTTATTGCAGTCTCATTTAGAAGGCCACATTGGTCCTTACTACATTTTGGTAATTCTGACATTTACTTTTAATAATAATACATACGGTGGTGTTTTGTATATTGCCTCCTATTGGCCTTTTGAAATTCTTTTGCAGTTTTGAACACATACCCCCGCCCCTCCATTTTATTAAATAGATTTATAATCATTGTTTTTAGATTTGACTCTTATTTTACCCCTACTGACCTCAACCAAACTAAGGTAAAGTTATTTTAAAGCATAGGTATATCGGGTAGGTACATTTTATAGGAATTTTGGAGATTAGGGACTTTCTGGTTTAAGTCCGCGGATTGTATTTTGTAAACCAGTGGCGCCCTATTAAGCTAACTTTAAATATTGAACCTACTCCCACATCACTGAGTAGCCGCGAGCACTTTGTTGCGCTGGCCGCATTCTTTAAAAGTGTCTTACTGTACCTAGGCCTATTAGGGTTTATTAATTCAAATTCTTTTTTCAAACAGTTTAAGGGTAATTTTGTGCGCAACAAGACGAGTTTACCAATGATCAGTTTCAGAAGAGTTTGGCAATGCATGGACAAGTTAAACAAACTGGACAGGAATACCAAACTATCTCTCCAGTGGATACTTTCTGGGACACGTACCCATAAGGAAGCATTCAGGAAGAGAGATCGAACCAAATGGATCAGCCTCTGGGAGTAACTTCCGGGATCAAGGCAATCAAAGATGTTTCTCGGCCATCTACCCAAGGAAGATCATAAGATTTTATATCACTGAGTAAAAACAATGTCCGCATTTTCATTGGATTCCTTACAGGCCACTCTGGTTGAGAGAATTAAAATCGAAAACAAAAACAGCTACCGGTTCTGTGAGGAAAGGAAAGAAACTCCAGAACATCTTCTCACGGAGTGCGAGACAAGAAATTCCATCCATAAAACCATCTTGTTTTCATAAAAGCTTTAAAGCTGGATGAGGGACTATGAGTGAGAATCCTGTCCATCCAGTTAATGCCAGTTGACAAAAAAGCTAGAGAATGCAAGTTTCCATGTTAATTAAGGTGTTAACATATTTTTTTATTAGAAATAGGAATCTTTCAACTTTACATATTATCACGAATCTCATTAATTAAGACTTTCGAGAAATAATCTGGCACTGTAAGCCTTAACACGTCTCTGTTCCGAAGTTGCAATATTTGTTAAGTAATAATTGGAGCGCACCGAAACAGCTTTAATGCTAGCCTGCCGGCTCGACACGGGTATGATGTATTGCCGGCAATTAGAAGTCCGAAATCCGCGTGGAAATTAATCGAATAAAATCCTGGATAATTTGCCGGAGCGGCGCTTCTGGGTACCGGCAACCGATTACAACTGAAACCGGGAAAGAGGGCGGCTTTTAGTTTCGTTTCGAAATTGGAAACAAAAGCCCGAGTGCAGTTTGCTTTTCATTAGAACTCGGGGTAACTAATTAATTTGGGTTTTTTTTTTTTTTTCGTATGACGGGATTAGGCGATTGGCTTGGATTTATTTATTGTGTTAAATAATTCATCATTCAGTAAAATCTAAGTGATTTTTTTTACTTTACTTTTTTCTTTGACAAAGTCATTTAATGAGTCCTCCTCGTGTCGTCGCTATAAGTGCAGCAAAGAGCAAAGGGCCATTATTGAACTAGAGTCCAACTTCACTAAGTGGAAAATGTATCTTAAAAGCTTCTGCTGACATATTGACCGGAACGGGACAAAGCGACGTAATGCACGGGAATGCTTTCATCTTTTTTTTTTTCTATTGAACTGAATTTGATGATAATCATTTTGGTGCCAATATATTCTGGTCAAAATGTAAAAAGTAGGTAACGCAGGCATCGTATTCGGCGTCAAGACGTCACTTAAGAAGTTTCAAGCGAAAAAGACGCGTCGAAGATGAAAGCCATTTCGTGTCCGTTTCGGTCAAGATGTCACAGAGAAGCTTTTAGGATACACTTACCGGCTTTTAGAGACTCTATATGCTCTTTCGCCTTTTTTTTGATAAACCTTCATATATGGGGAATTCCAGAGACGGATAGAATTTTAAGCCGAATCGCTTTTAACGAGGCCTCGTTAGAGAAATGGTAACGGATATTCCTAATAAGGCGCGCAAACCGCTGTTTCAACATCCATAAGGGTACAAATTGACACCTGCACAGAGTTACTCTGTCGATAAGGGTCTTGTTAAATT